GGGGAGTGGCTGGTGGGTTTGAACCACCAGCCCTCTGGTTAGCAGGCAAGTGTCTTAGACACTATGCTACCAGAGCTCCTTACTGTGCCCCGTAGGGTCACTGTGAGTTGGAGTTGACTCAGTGGCAGTGTTTAATAACTGAATTTTTCCTCCAGAATTCAGTCGGCGTCTTAAGGAACGCATGCACCACAATATTCCTCACCGATTCAATGTGGGACTAAACATGCGAGCCACGAAGTGTGCTGTGTGTCTGGATACTGTGCACTTTGGACGCCAGGCATCCAAGTGTCTCGGTAAGAACAGCAGCTGTGTGTTTGCCGGGGGCATCTGCACACCTTCACCTAGAAAACCCATCAGGTGGAGGTGGACTTTCTGTTTTTTTTCCTCATCATAGAGCACATTCATTTTCAAGCTTTTAGTTTTCAGTGGGAGGACTCTATTTTTCCTCTGTAAAAGAAGTGAATTTAGACATGTCTTCAGCTCACGACTGCAACCCACTGAGCAAAACGTCTTGAGCTTTGGTAATTTCCAGCCTTCTCCTTGTCAGGCTGGTCTTGCCCTATCTTGAGGCTGGGTGCTGGTGCCAACTGCAATGTGCAAATATGTCCTTTACACACCTGCTAATGGGTAGCCTGGAGAGAAGCCAGGGAAACTGGGTCGAGAGCACTTGACTCTCTTATTTCCTCTCTCTGCAGGAGCCTGGTACCTAGGAACACTTAGGGCTAGCCGGTTCACGAGGCCAGACTGATGGTGCCTAGCGGGGGGAGGAGAAGCCCTGGGGTTGGCTGCAGGAGGCAGGGAGCAGTCCAGGATCAGCCAGGCATGTTTTCAGCTCACTCACTGTGTTTCCCTAGAATGCCAGGTGATGTGTCATCCCAAGTGCTCCACGTGCTTGCCAGCCACCTGCGGCCTGCCCACCGAGTATGCCACGCACTTCACTGAGGCCTTCTGCCGTGACAAAATGAACTCCCCAGGCCTCCAGACCAAGGAGCCCGGCAGTAGCTTGCACCTGGAGGGGTGGATGAAGGTGCCCAGGTAGTGTGTGGGGCGGCTTTGGCTGGGGCAGGTGCCACAGCTGCTTTCCTTCCTGATGTTGTCTAGGGAAGTGTCTTTTCTAGGACTTCTCTCCACCCTCCCCCCCTTCCCCCACCCTTCTGTCTGACTCTTCTGAGTTCAAACATTTTCTTTTTAAATCTTTATTTTCCCAGGAATAATAAGCGAGGACAGCAAGGCTGGGACAGGAAGTACATTGTTCTGGAAGGATCTAAAGTCTTAATTTTTGACAGTGAAGCCCGAGAAGGTAAATGAATGCTTCAGGGGGAGCTTCATTGCACGTGGTTGGCCCAGGTCTCCAAGTGTTGGTGTGAAGGCTTGGTTTTTGGATTGCATTGAAAGCCTTCGTACGGTTTTCCCATTATTGAAAACTAAGAACCAAATGACTTCTCTAAAGGTTATTGGTACGATACTCACACCTATAGGTCCCCCCTCTGAGGAACCTGCAGGGTGCTGTCCTGAAGATTCTACCTGCTAATACACCTTCAGAGAACTTCTGCCTCAGTCAACTAGCCCATAAATCCGCATCGCCATCAGAAATTTGACTGTGCCTACTCATCTGACACACTTTATTTTTTTATCTTCCCCCTCCGCCTTCTCTGCATACCTTTCCTCCTCTTCTGTTCTCGTGTGCCTCCCTTCACATGCATCCTCTGCCCCTCCCTCCCGCTCTTGCTCTCTCTCCTTCTTTCTCTCTTTTCCCCCCTTGTTCTTGTTCCTGTTCTTTGTTTTTTCTTTCTGCCCTTCCTCTTTGCACCAAGCTGGACAGAGGCCGGTGGAAGAATTTGAGCTGTGCCTTCCCGATGGGGACGTGTCTATTCATGGTGCCGTTGGTGCTTCTGAGCTTGCAAATACAGCTAAAGCAGGTGAGGAGCAGGCCTGGAGGGCTGGGCTTGAGGATTCAGGAGGTAGGGAGGTGGGACAGGGGTCTGCAAAGGAGGCCCACAGACCTCAGCTCACCTGTAGCTGGTGGCTCTTATGCCATGGCGGGGTCTCGGGTATCTCAGGACCATCCCTCCTAGTGGGAGTGGTAGGAATCCACACCCAACCCTATGCTCTCTGAAATTTCCTAGATGTCCCATACATACTGAAGATGGAATCTCACCCGCACACCACCTGCTGGCCTGGGAGAACGCTCTACTTGCTAGCTCCCAGCTTCCCTGACAAACAGCGCTGGGTCACTGCCTTAGAATCGGTGGTCGCAGGTGGGAGAGTGTCTAGGGAGAAAGCAGAAGCTGATGCTGTGAGTATGACCATGGATGCAGGCTCGTGTTTGTGGAACGGGCTGGCGTAGTAACTGAGCTGAAAGATGGGAGTCCTCTTTCAGGGGTGACAGTGCCACATTGTGTCATGACAGGAAGTTTGGAGGTGATGCAGACCAGGCTCTGAGGAAGGATTTAGAGCTGGGGACAAGCACTGTTAGCCAGTTCTTGGGACATAATAGGTCTTGGTTGTGGCAGTACTGGAGCACATGCGCTTTTAAGGAAGTCTTCTCTCGTTTGTTCTGATGAGGTCTTTTGGTTTGAAGATTTGATTTGGAAGCATTTTGCCCCTGAAGTATCCAAGAAGGCTGCCAACAGCTGTGTCTGCTGCAGGGAGGCATTTCACAGCCTCCTCAGATGTTTCTGCAGCACCTGCTCTTCGGCAGGCGGGGTGGAGTCCCACTTACTGTACCATGTTAGAAACGTGGGTGTGCCTTGATTGGCATCACTCCACCTAGAACGTTCCCAGATACAAACAGCACTCACTGCTCATTGGCTTTTTTGCCACCAAGGACCAAACAGCCCTTTAAAACGCTTGGCTCCTAATAAACACAAATTTTAAGTGTTAGCAATTGGAAAATTCTTAACTAGAAGCCCGGGATAAGAGCTTTGCTCCCTGTTTTGATGACCTGTCTTGCTCTCACACGTGTGAGCCTTTTACTGAAATCCACGTTACTGTGTGTACAATAGGCCCGTGACTGTGTTGCCTACGAGCTTCTGGCTGCGTGGGTTCAGGTAAAGAGACTGTGAGGGCCCTGCTGGCCTCTGATGCTGGGCTTTGCACTGCTGTAGCCTGGAGGGAAGATGCCTTCCCTGCGGCTTATTAACCTTTTGCAGGGGGAGTCTCTAGCTTCCACCCCTCTCCTGTCCCAGACTAGTTTTCTGTGTCTGCCGCCTTCACTTACTTCTATGCCCACGCCGAGTTACATCTCAGATGCTGAGTAACAGCTGCCTCAGTGATAGCATTAGCATGTCTTGCCTTTTGAGCTCAGGTGGACGTACGGGCACACCAAGGGCAGATGTGTGTTTCTGAGTATTTTCAGGAGTGACTTGCCTTTATTCCTGGCGCAGAACTGCTCTGGTTCTTGCTCTTGTGTTTTTGGATAGCTGAGTCATGAATGATGGATTGACCACATCTTTTCTTTTTCCTTTTTTCCCCCACCTATGAAAAAAGAAATTGCTTGGAAACTCCCTCCTGAAACTGGAGGGTGATGACCGCCTCGACATGAACTGCACACTGCCCTTCAGCGACCAGGTAAGGTTTTCTGGGCACTGCCAGCCAGTGTCTGGCTGGAGCCCCACACAATCAAGGAGTAAAGGACTGTGTAGCTTGTCTGATCTTTGAGATTTTTATAGTGACATGATTATGGTTATGTTCCCCTTTGGACTTCTGCCCCTGCAGGTGGTGTTAGTGGGCACTGAGGAAGGGCTGTACGCACTGAATGTCTTGAAAAACTCCCTGACCCACGTCCCAGGCATCGGAGCCGTCTTCCAGATTTATATCATCAAGGACCTGGAGAAGCTGCTCATGATAGCAGGTGTTAGGCGAAGGACACAGCGCTTTCTTCTTTCTTCAAGGAAATGCTTTGAAATGATTCTGTGCTTGACACAAAAAGACCCCCCTCATCACATAAATGGCTCTTTCCTCTGTGTCCCTGTAAACACCTAAGTCTCAGCTGATGGAGTCTCTTTGTTCGAAAGTGGATCCCTCTCAGGGCCCAGTTTAGCACAGTCTGACACCCCCAAGCAACATCTGACCTTTATGCTGAGTGAAAAGTGTTCAGCCTCAAAGACTCATTAAAGTCAAACCCTTTGTCCTAATTGCAGGGATACCACTGTGGGCCTTGACCTTGTGAGAGCTTGCCTGCTCTGCTCGAACATGCTTTCTTTTACCACTGTGTGAACTCCCAGAGACCCATTATTGAGATCCACCTCTTGTTGACAGTTTGCCACAGTTTTTCCTCTTTCTCTCTCTTCTCACACACACGTTCTCACACACATTACTTTTGCTGAGCTGTTGCAGAGTCGGTTGCAGACACTGTGATCCCAGGTCCTTGGCCTGTCACGTCAGCACAAGGCACGTAATCGCCCACATAGTCAGGAATTCAGGGCGTTCAATCCTTGCTGTTAAGACAGTTCCCTGAGACACTGACGAGGGTCCCATTTTACCTATGGCCCCAATACTGCCCTTTATGGTAATGTCTTGATTCGTGATCCAGCCCAGGGTCACGCATTGCGTTTAGTCGTCATGGCTCTCTTGCCTCTGTTCATCTGGAATCGCTCCTCGGCCTTCCCTTGTCTTTCATGACATTGACGTATTTGAGGACAGCAGGCCTGCTATCTCTGTCACATGTCCCCTCATGTTTCCCAGAACAGTTTGTTTTGTCTTTGGTGGGGAGCATATTTGAAAGCCCAGTTCATAGTTCACCTTCCTTGATTTTATGTCCCAGATTCTCAAAAGGTCAGAGGCTATCATCTTAGACCTAAAACTTGAACTCAAAACAGAAATCAGTCCATCGGCATGGCATCTCCTGGTTTTTGTTTGTGAACCCGCCCTCCTGTTTGTTTGTTTCTTTAACCTAACAGCTTCACCCTGACAGCAGAGGTTGTTCCTTTTCCCTCCAGGGGAGGAGCGGGCCCTGTGTCTGGTGGATGTGAAGAAGGTGAAGCAGTCTCTAGCGCAGTCGCACCTTCCCGCCCAGCCAGACATCTCGCCCAACGTTTTCGAAGCTGTCAAGGGCTGCCACTTGTTTGCTGCTGGAAAGGTGAGCTTCTCCTAGGGGTCTCAGCAGTGGAGTGTTCTTGAAATGGGCGCTGCCTCTCTTACCACAGGGCTTGTGGTTTGACCTTGAAGATGTGTCCTTATACTGGGCCTCTGCATGTTGCTTCCTTTGAGTACCTGCAGTAATTTAGGTAGCCTGAAATTTTGACTGGCTTTGCATCTAAAGGAAATGAATGAATGAGAGAGAAACAAGAATAACATGAAACAAACTAAAAAGATGACCCATTTAAAAAAGTGTGCACATATCAAAAGGAAATCTAACACGGACCGCATAACGAAACTGGACTAGCAATTGGTAAATTCTAATAGTGTTTACATAATGAGGTCAGTTAGTGAGAACTCAGGTAATTCTTGGGTCGCTTCTAACATACTGAAATTTGTTGCATAAACACACTTGCCTGCTGCTCTTTCGCATTTAAAGAATCTGCATGGGTGCATGCATGCACGTGTGTGCACACACACATACACACACACTCACACTCACAAACTGAGCATGAAATGTGAGTGAACTGTCTGTAGGCCCCTGAGGCTGCTGAGTTCTGCTGGTTGAAAACCTGGCCTTTTGCTCCTCAGAAGACTCCTCGCTGGGCTTTGGTTCATTCAGTCTCTCACTGAACGGTCGCTCAGCACATCCTCTGTGCTCCCCCGAGCCTTTGGAGGAGCCTGTTGTGAGGGGCGGAGGGCTGCGACTGTAGCCGCAGGGCCTCCTGGGCCGAGCACTCAGCCCACTGCTCTGTGAGGGTTCATGATTGCCGAGCTTTTTGGCTTTGTGAGGAGTTCTTTTCCTGGCCAGGTATGTAAGTGTTGGGCTGATTCAATTGTGGTAAATAATTGAAAGGGAACACAGTTAGGAAGTAAGGCAGTGGCTGGTTTAGGAAGGTGTTAATCTAGAAAGGCGTTCTGGAGGAAGGGATTCTCCAAAGGCTGAGATACATGAATGTTTCCTGAGGGAATTGGGGATTTCAGACAGGGACCGTGGATGGGCCGAGCTCTGTGCCCTGGTAAATCTCAACAATGTTTTTTTTCCTTTTTAAAGAGAACATTTCTCTTTCCTTTTTTAAAATTTTATTTTAATTTTTATTGTGGTTTGGTTGAAAGTTTACAGAGCAAATTCATTTTCCATACAGCAGTTCATACACATTTTGTTTCGCGACCTTGACTTCAACCCCCACAGTGTAACAGCTTTCTTCCCACTTCCTCCCTGTGTTTACCTCTTCCCTGTGTCCTTCTTTCCTGCGCATTGCTGCCCCTGAGCTGTCTCTCTGTGTGAATACTACCCTCTGTTCTCCCATAATTGGTTGTTCTAAGGAGTGTATGTCTAGCTGGTATAAATGTTCACCCTGTATGCCTGTTGTTTGGAAGACATGGGACTGAGTTCAGTTCCAGGCCTGAAGGGTAACTAAGGGTCCTAATCTTGGGACTCTCACCAGGCTCTATCAGGCCAGGAAACCTGGTCTTCTTATGTTTTTATTTTTTCATGATTTTGAGTTTTGTTCCACATTGTCCTCCCACTCTTCCAGATCTCCTATACTGATCCCTTTCTGATCGGTTGACAGTGGTCGCCGGGCACCATCTAGTTCTTCTGGCTTCATGATCATATAGGCTGAGTTTAACATGGTCCGCTAGTCCCTTGGACTAATAGTTTCCATGTGTCTTTGTTTTTCTTCCTTCTTCTTTGCTCTGGATGAGGAGAGACCCGTTGTTCCATCTAGCTGGCTGCCTGCACACTTTTAAGACCCCAGTCACTACTCACCGGAGTAGGATATAGAACAATGGTTTTATGTAGTATGTTATGCCATTGAATTTGATGTCCCCTGTGACTGTGGTCCCAAGCCCATGGGTCCCACGACTCACTCCATCAGGGTGGTTGACTGTGCCTAAGAAATTATCATGACTTTTTCCCTTGTTAGCTCTATCTGTATGGACATAAAGAGAACATTTCTTGTTTTTCTTTTCCCCCTTCATGCTCTTTGCTGTATTGTATTCTCTTGTAGTTGTTATGTTACCGTTTCCATTCCTAATATTACTTGTGGCCTGTCTCTCATTTGTCTTGATTTCATCAGAAGTATTCCCATGGGGTTAACCTTTATAAAGAAGCAGGTTTAGTCCTTATTGATTGTATTCTAGCATTATTTGATTTGTAATAATTTTCTATTTCTTTGTTTTTTCTGGCTTTCCTCTATTATTCTCTTCTTTCTCTAATTTTGAGTTTACCTCATTACTTTTGATACTTTCTTTTCTAATATAAACATTTAAGACTCCGTTTTCTTCTGACTACTATTTTAGTCGTAATTTTGATAAGTAAACCATTAATTATCATTCCACATATTTAAATATTTGTCTTATAATTCCTTTTGTGAATGATGAGCTACTTAGAAATGTGTTTTAGTTTAAAAAAATAGTTTTCAAAAGTTATAATCTATTTTCATTACAATATTTGAATACTAAAAGAATATATGGAAAAAATATATAAATTATAAAGCCTAATAATATGGTGGGAGCTCTGGTAGTGTAGTACCTAAGGCACTTGACTGCTAACCAGAAGGCTGGCGGTTCAAACCCACCAGCCACTCCTCGGAAGGAAGGTTGGGCAATCTACTTCTGTAGTGATACTGCCTCGGAAATCCAAGGAGGGGTCGCTATGAGTCGGGTCTGACTCCACGGCACATAACAACAACAAATAATATGTTAAAGATCCATGAATGCACTACCCAACCTAAGAAAGAGACCATTACCAGTAATTTGCATTTTCCCATGTATTCCACTCCTCTCCCATCCCCCACCAAGCAGCAACTGCTGACCTTCCTTCCAGGACTGCTTTGAGCAACATGCTTTTTTTTCACCCTTATTAAATGACAAAGATCTGGCTGTAAGAGGTGAATCAAGAGGGGGCCAAACGTTGTAGAAAAAGGGAGTTTTGATGTAGGACTCTGCATATTCAGAGCATATAAGGACTTTGGACCAAAATTTTTCTCAATTCTTATAGCAGTATCTACTGCCTTTTTTGGGGGTGGTGGGAGACGAGGCTGTCAGAAGCATCACTAGCAAAAAAAGCACGTCCACAGTGTGTGGTGTCAGGTGGATCTCCTGAAGCCACCTCTGCATCCCTATGAAAGACCCTTGGCCTAAAGCTGTGGTTTTCAACTAGGAGCAATTCTGCCCCCCAGGGAACACTGGGCAACATCTAGAGATGTTTTTGGTCATCACAACTAGGGGATTGATAACTATGTGCATCTACTGAGTAGAGGCTAGGGATGCTGCTCAACATCTTACAAGGCACATATCAGCCCCCATCACAGAGAACTGTCTAGTCCAAGAAGAACTGGATGGTGCCCAGCTACCATTACTGAACATATTGATCAAAGATTCTATGAAAGAATCCTGATCAAAAGGGGGGAAATGTAGACCAGAATTTCAAATTTTCATGGAATCCAAACACTCTTGAGCCATAGATGCTAGATGAACCCCCTGAAAGTATTGCTGAGATAATCTTTAAACTTAAAACCAAAACTGTCCACTAGAGGGGGACCAGGTTTGCTGATTTGATAGAGCCTGGTGGAGCCACTGAGGCTAAGGTCCCTAGCAGCCCTTCAGATCTGGAATTGAACCCATACCTGTGGCTTCCAGCCAAACAAAAGACAGGCATATGAGTTGAACATTTACCTGAGGTAGATACACTCCTTGGAGAGAACAATCATGGGAGAAAGAAGGGCTGCTTTATGCACAGGGAGACAGCTTGGGGGGCAGGAGTGCATGGAGGGACAGGACACAGGGAAGAGGTAACTATAGGGAGGAAGTGGGAGGGGAGCTATTGCATTGTGGTAAACTGTGGTCAATGTCTTGAGACAAAGTGTATGTGAACTGCTGTATGGAAAGTGAATTTATTCACCCAAATCACAATTTAAAAAAAAAAATTATATATCCCCCAGAGGCTTCTCAGAACCAAACGATCATTTAGCCTCGTTACGCCTTGAGCACTGTGCTCTTTTAGACCTCTCTGTAAGGGATCAGATGGACAACAGCAACTTGAAGGTTAGCGAGGAACCTTAGGGGACAGTAAGTTTATGTTAGTGGAGAAGGTCAGAAGAGAGGTGGGAAGGGCGGCCCAGCTTGAAGAATGTCTTCACTGTCACTGAATTTGCATGGAGAAATTGCTGAATTGGCGTGTGTTTTGCTGTGTATATTCTCAACAACAGAATATAAAAATAACAGAAATAAGTTTAACTGCTCTAAATGTGGACGGTGCTGCCATTGAGAAACTCTGCTGCAAATGGGTGTTCTTTTCCTATGAAGCCAATATTCTCACTGCTGACTGTTCCTTTTCATTTGGCCCCCCTCCCCTCATTGCTTTTCAGATTGAGAATGGGCTCTGCATCTGTGCAGCCATGCCTAACAAAGTTGTCATTCTCCGTTACAATGAGAACCTCAGCAAGTACTGCATCCGGAAGGTACGTCCTCCCCTTCCCACTCTTCTGGCAGGTGGGTGTGGAAAACCTGCAGTCTCCTGAGAGCAGCATGGGAGCAGTCCTCCTGCTATGCATGCCAGGGCATCAGCTGGGTGATTTCCTTAGAGAGGGAGAGGTGGACTTTCCTTTTGTAGCTGGACTTTCTCCTCATTTCCTCGTCCTGTTTGTGGCCTGCCTCACTGTCCAGCCTAGTGAGTCCAGCCTTCTGTTGACAGAGGAAGTTGGGTGACTGAGGAGACATTTCCTTTGAGCAGGCGGAAAAAAAAGAAAAAATTCTCTCTGCAAAGCCAGCAGTCCCCATCATGGTGACACTTACCAGAATCTCTCGCAGGTCTTAGACTAGGCTTCTATTAATAATCTTTCAGAAAAGCCAGTGCTCACTCTGCTTTGCTATGTAATGAGGAAGTTGGTTCTCCTTGGAGCAGAGGGAGCTGTGATGATGACCACAGTACGGACAAGGTGCATACATTGGAGCGTTGGATTGGCCTCATTTTCTGAGAAGGCTCTTTGTCCCTAGATTAGGAAAGTTCCACCCGTCCTAAGCCTGGTTGATTTTAGGTGTTTTCATGAAAAGTGAAATGATGGATGAATATATAAGGGGTATTCCAAACCAACCCCTTGCCACCAAGTCTGTTCTGATTCATAGAGACTCCATAAGAGAGGGTAAAACTTCCCCATAGGGTTTCCAATGCTATAAATCTTTACAGAAGCAGACTGCCACATCTTTCTCCCATGGAGCTGCTAGTGGGTGTGAACTGCTAACCTGTTGGTTAGCAACCAAGCACTTTAACCATTGCACCATCAGGGCTCCTTATTAGGGTCATTTTCTGTCAGATTAAACTATTTCATTCTGGGCAGGGCATTGTTAGTTTAATTTATGTTTTTATTGAGTGCCTACTGGGACCAGTGACTGAGGTGGCAATTTTGCAAACACTTCTCCCAACACTTCTGAAAAGTCTAAGGGTGGTAATCTCCAGTTTTCAGGTAAGACAGTTGAGGCTCAGAGAGCTCCTAAGCTACAAAGGTGAAACCCAAACTGAACTTCGATCTTCTTTGCCGTTTAACTATGTCATGCTGCCCGAAGGTTGCCTCGTATGTAGTAGTTGATCAAAGATATTTTGTGATGATGATGATAATGCTGATTAGGGTTTGAACTGTTAAGTTCAAGGAAAATGTCAGAGATTATTGCTTCCTTTAATTCCTGGCTACCATTTTGAATATGTATGCCTGGTTTTTGATGACATTAGGATTGGCCTGAAAACTGGTACAAGTAAGTCGGGGGCAGATGATTGAAATGTTTTGATAGTGATGATGTTGTAACGTATATGGATACAAAGTGGAAATTTACATATTGATGTTATAACGTATACGGATACAAAGTAGAAATTTATACATTGATGTATAATGTATACGGCTACAAAGTAGAAATTTACATATTGATGTTATAATGTATATAGGGATACAAAGTAGAAATTTACACACTAACAAAAAAGAAGGAAATGAGAACCTCCTCTAACTACCACTGTTGATAATATATTCTTCCAGTCTTCTTTCTTTGATAAGAGTGTTGTTTTTTTAAATTTCTGTCTTTCAGTGCTACCTTTTCATTGAAATGGTGCTTCTCAGCCTTTGGGGGCTATAATTTGACCATATTTCCTTTGTGTGGGGTGCACAGAAAAATAGGAAGATAAAGCATATGGATCATTAATCATTGAGAGGGGCTTGGAAAGGTTGAGCGGGCTTTGTGTGGCAACATGAGTGAGTCTGGTGGCAACTGGCTATAAGGCCTTGGTGAGACACTTCAGGCTGAAGCAGAATAGCTAGAAACTTGGCTGCCTTATGCTGACTTTGCTGTCCTTTTCTGCCCTCTTACCTCTAGGAGATAGAGACCTCAGAGCCTTGCAGCTGTATCCACTTCACCAATTACAGTATCCTCATTGGAACTAACAAATTCTACGAAATTGACATGAAGCAGTACACGCTGGAGGGTAGGGCCTGCGCGCTCATCCCTAGCCCACACACTGCCCAGGCCTCACTGAGAACTAGAGATCATTCCTGAAGCCCCACTTCTTGCCTGCCTTTGCAGAATTCCTGGATAAGAATGACCATTCCTTGGCGCCTGCTGTGTTTGCCTCCTCTTCCAACAGCTTTCCTGTCTCAATCGTGCAGGTGAACGGTGCAGGGCAGCGGGAGGAGTACTTGCTCTGCTTCCACGGTGAGTTGCAGCCCGCTGCCCATTGGCTGTGTGGTCCGTAGTCTCAGCCCAGCCTGGCCATCATGGTTCTGAGTCCTCAGGGACACCAGGAAACCCACATGGGTCTAATCCAGGGTTGGAGGATGGTCAGTGGATATCTGGGGCAGGGCGGGTCCTGCAGAGAAAGTGGCACCAAGGCTGCCTGGGGGTCTCCCCTCCCCAGGTGCTGTGCTGCGCTGGTCCAGTTCTGTCACATTCTTCCCTTCTCCGTCTCTTGCTGCTGCTGCCTCCCTTTCCTCTCTCCTCCTCCCTCATGGTCGCAGTCCCACTGGTGTATAGTGTTAAGATCAGAAACACCTAGTTGTGCATGCAGCTTTTGTTTTTAATTGACTTTTGTGAAGAGGTATGCGATCCTATGTTTCAACAACTAGACAATTTAAAAAGGGTGTATGGTGAAAAATGGCACCCATAGCACCCTTCTCCTTTCTTCCTCTCTTTGACTTTCTCTTCTTTCCTTTATTTCCCTTGCAAAAACGACAAGGAGGCCACATGTTCTGACCTCCTCTGACCTTACAAGAGGAAGACAGGATTACCAGCAGTAACCCAAGGCCTATTCCTACAAGGCCAGACATGCTGCTTCCCTCCAGCCCTTTCTCCAACCCTTCCTCCCAAAGCACCCACCACCTCTCTCCTGGGTTCAATAATTCGCTGCAGTGGCCACACAGAGCTCACAGATGAGGTTTATTAGGGAAGCACCAAGCTACAATTTGAGTTCAGGAAAAATGCTCAGTCTCTCTCCCAGCCCACCGTCCCTCAGCCAACAGTCTCTCACAGTCTCTTTCCCAACAGTGCTGGTCCCTCGGCGTCTCACTCAGCAATGCGTGTCTCTTGCATCTCTTTCCCAGCAGCACGTGTCTCTTTCAGGAGCTCGTGTCTCTTTCGGCAGCACGTCTTCCTCAACCAGCAGTCAGAGAGAGTTCTGCCTCCAGGAGGCCTCCTTTTGAGCCCGGAAGGGTGGTCAAACTAGCCAATCATAGCATCAGAACTCTAAGCATGTGAGAGAGAGTGGGTACCTCCCAGAACATTGTTTTGTGCCACGCCCAACAGAAGTACTCCAAGTGGACAACTTCAGCAATCAGGAGCTCCTCAGATGCTCATAGAAAATCCCACCTTGGAGTTTACAAAGACTTATGGGTGGAAAAGCCACACTAAGTAATTTACTACACTGCACCCCTAATCTCTGGATCTCTCTCACTTTCTCCTCCTCTCTCTAACCCGCTCTCTCCTTTCTGTCTCTTCCTCCTTCCTTTCTTCCCCCACCCCTTTCCCTTGAGCCCTCTGTCTTTAATCAATTCCTTGTCAGGTGTGGCTCAGCAAAGGTCCTGGGGTTTTAGCCACCCAGAATCCTCTGGGCTTTTTCTTGTTCTTCCATTAAAGTGTATGCTGTTGACACTCCCTCCCTCTGCCTGTGTTAATGCCCCTGGGCTCTTGGCTCCCTGCAGAGTTTGGGGTGTTTGTGGATTCTTATGGAAGACGTAGCCGCACAGATGATCTCAAGTGGAGTCGCTTACCTCTGGCCTTTGGTGAGTGGGGCAAGGTGTGGAGGGCCTCTTTTGCCAGCTGTGGTTCCTGGAAAGGAATGGCAGCTGGAGTTCTTTCTATCCTGAGTGTTGAGGTTTTGGATTCCATTAGACATCAAGCAACGTATCTGCTGGTCACAGGAATAAATATTTATGACAGAGATTCTGAGGCCTGATGAAGAATTGCATGCATCACATTCAGGGAGGCCCACCCCGGCCCCAACCTTGTGAAATATCTGTTTGGTTCTCATGGCCTAGCTAAACACCTCTTAATTAAACCAGTTCTAAATAGAGAAAGCAGTTAGGTCATGTAAGTGTGAACAGCCCGTGATAAATGTCCTTATTTATACTAATTTTTGTGCACCTAACAGATAGTATCCCCTTATGGTGAGTTCCCAGAAGTGGAGCTCCAGCACATAGAATAAACATGCACATACATCCAGGTGTGTACATAGGTGTCTGCGTGAATGTCCTGCAACACCATTGTGACTGAAATGACTTTTGAAGGGTATTTCATTCATCATTGCTGCATAGCAAGCTGTTCTAAAACCAGCTTATTATTTACTGCCCCTGATTCTGTGGGTTAACTGGACGCTTTTGGTTCCTGTGATGTCATTGGGGGCACTGAGACAACTCGAAGGTCCCAGTTGGTCCCACAAACTGGTTCCGGCCATAGGTAGGAGCTCAGCTTGGGCTGTTGGCTACAAGGCCTCCATTCCTCTGCACTCAGGCCTCTTCCATGATGCAGACGCAAGAGACAGCAGGCCCTTTCTCTTCCACCATGTCCTGCTACAAGATCTGCCCAGATTCAAGGCAAGGAAATGACATAGGGCCTGAATCTAGGAAGGCATGGGATAGTCTGTCACCACAGTCATAGTTTCCACAGGAAATGAGAGTGATAATCCCCATTTCTCTAAGGCAGAGAAAAGCTTAAGTCATGTCTTCTCAGTTACACTGTGGTACAGTGAGGTGGTGTTAAGAAGCTCAGAAATACCAAATTATCAGTTTCTTTTTTAATTTAGTTTTTTGGAGAGGAACACAAGCATATGGTTCAGCAGTCAAATTGTAAAAAGGTGTACAGTGAAAGGTCTCACCCATGTTACCCATCTCCTGTTTCTTCTTTCCCACTATTCTAAAGGAAACCACTTTTATGAGTTTCTTATCCTTTTAGTGCTTAGGCAAATTCAAGCACATAAAAATACATATTCTTATCCCAACTCTTTTTTTATCAGGAAGGTGGCACACTTTACACATTATTCTGTACCTTACTTTATGCACACAATAATATATTTATATTGTATGAGCACAGAGAGAGCGTCTTCATGCAGTTTACAGCTATGCAGAATCCCATAGATGTACCATAATTTATTTAACTGATCCCCTATTAATGGACACTGAGTTGTTTCCTGTCCTCTGTTACAATAAACAACACGACCATGAGTACCCTCATACATGTGTCATTGTGCTGGCACATGGGAGTATGTATAAATTCCTTTATGTGGGATTGGCCGGTCAGAGGATGCACTATAGTCAGGTTTAAATTTCTCTTTTCTAACCTTCTTTGCCCCACACTCTTCCTCTGTGGTGGCCATGCAGCCTACAGAGAACCTTACCTGTTTGTGACCCACTTCAACTCGCTCGAAGTAATTGAGATCCAGGCACGTTCCTCTCTGGGGTAAGCATTGTCCTCTGTGCTTCAACGGAGTGGGGTAGGGTGTTGGGGTGTGGGTTTCTTCCTAGCTTGTCCTGAAGGTAACCTGCAGTGTAAACTGTCCTTTGGGATTCCACAGGACCCCTGCCCGAGCATATTTGGAAATCCCGAACCCACGCTACCTGGGCCCTGCGATTTCGTCGGGAGCCATTTACCTGGCTTCCTCATACCAGGATAAATTAAGGGTCATTTGCTGCAAAGGAAACCTTGTGAAGGAGTCTGGCACTGACCACCACCGGGTCCCCTCCACATCCCGCAGGTACCCTCCCTCTTATTTTCCTCATGACAGGGTCAAAGCACTTTTCTGCAAAGTGGAGGGAATCTTGCTAAACGGGTTGAAGGCTTCCAGATTTTCCCTTTCTCTTCAAGCACATCACTCATTTCTCAGAGGTCCTCAGCATTCAAATGACATAGGCCTTTGTGAGCAGCAGAAGGAATTAAAATGCCTCTAGTCACAATAGGAAGAGAATTGTCTGGTCTTTCTCTTGTGGGCATTTGTGTGTCTCTGTTTGAATGGTGCAAGAGTTAGGCATTTATTGCTTTAGCAGATATTTTGTCATGCTAGGTGTTGTGCTTGCTGCAGGGGATGGAGTGGTGAATAGCTCCTTCCAGTAGGAATAAACCAAAACCAGAACCAAACCCACTGCCATTAAGTCAATCGTGACCCTATAGGACAGAGTAGAACTGCCTCATAGGGTTTCCAAGGCTGTAAATATTTGTAGAAGCAGACTCCCACATCTTTTTCCTGCAGAGCAGCTCATGGGTTCAAACTGCCGACCTTTTGGTTAGCAACCCAGTGCTTTACCACAGTGCCACCAGAGCTTCTCTGTAGGAATAGATAGCAATGAGGTAATTACAGCACAACACAGAAAGACGAAGCTCTGGAAGCGCAGTTTAAAGCACTGTAGGTGCTCAGAGGAGGGCCCTGGCCTAGTCTTTGTGGTCAGGAGGAATTCCTGGAAGAAATGAGGCAGGGCTGGGGACATGAGGCATGTTCAGGGCCAGAGGAAAAGGCATGAGCGGAGATCCAGAGTATGAGACAGGGAGAATAGCCAAGGATTCCAAGGCTGACTGGTGGTTCCATGGAATGTCACAATCTCTTAAACATGATTGGACTGATGTTTTTATTTTATTTTATCGTACGTACTTTTGAATCAGTAATTAAATCACATGATACAAAATGCAAAAGGTATAAAAGAGTATGTAGTATGAAGTCTCTCTCCCTGCCTTCTTCTTGTGCCCCCTGCCACCCAGGTTCCTACTTAGGAAGGAAACAGTCTTTTACGTTTTTGTGTTTCCCTCTGGAGATCTTTCATGCATACACGAGAAAAAGCGTGTGTATACTCTCCCTCTTCTTTTGTTTTTATAGTTTTGTTGAGATATAATTCACAAACCATACAGTTCTCTCATTTAGAATATATAATTCAGATTTTTCAGTAAGTTCACAGGTGAGTAACCATCATCACAATCTAATTTTTGAGTGTTTTTGGCCTCTTAAAACAAATCTCCATGCCCATTGGTGGTCATTCCCCACTTCCTTTCATTTCAACCTAGAGGACTCCCTTTGCCGGGAAGGTCTGATAGCAACATATTCTCATTTTTTGTTCATCTGGTGTGGTGTTCTAATTTTCCTTTCATTTTAAAGGATAGTTTTGCTGGATATAGAATTCTTGGCTCATAGTCTTTTTCTTTCAGTACTTTGAATTTAGGGTCACTGTGAGTCAGAATTGACTTAACAGCAATGTGTTTTGCTTTGTTTTTACTTCTGGACTCTGTGGTTTCTGATGAATCCATCAGTAGTTAATCTTATCAAAGACCCCTTTTATGTGATGAAATGTTTTTCTTTTGCTCCTTTCAAGACTGTTTCTTTATCTGTGACATTTGAAATTTAACTATGATGAGTCTAACTGGGAATCTCTTTCTGAATATCCTCCTTGGGATTGTAGTCATAATGCTTGGGACTGAAGAGGCAGGAAGGCACTGTTACTGTTCCTCAAAGGTCTCACGGTTTGTTGGAGGAACCATCTCTAGTATTATAGAATGCTTAGGTCTAGGCAAAGGCAGTCATCAATTTAATACTCTGAGACTATGTCCTAGTGAGTAATCTCTCTTCCTTTTATTGATGCTTAAGAAACATTTGGTCACTGTGGTTTTAATCCCAAGAATTTGGTGAAAACCAGAAATGTCCAGTAACCAGTGCTCATAACTTTTTTTGGCTTAACCCTGCTTCAAGAGTAACTGCTCAAAGGGCTACAGCCCTCCCCTGAAAATGTCTAGATTTTCTTTAATTTCCAAGTCATGGCAAAAGCAGTTGTTTAAAAATAATAATAATAATAATCAAAATACTGTAATTAGGTTTTTCTTTCATTGCCTCACTAGTTAGATGGCCCCGCACCTTCCTTTTGAGAAACTGTGATCTCTCTGTGAGGAGCTGTTTATTCTGTGGTTGAAAATGATTCCAGTACCTGTGAACCCAAGGGGCAGAAAAATGCCTTTGCTTTCCTGCTGTTGACAAACGTTTCTAGGAGATCAGCAGTCTTAAGTTGTTTCTTGGCATACGGAAGGGTCTTTTTGCTGCTGACTGCCTTGGGAAAGTGAGACTGGGGAAAGCTGGCTTGGTGGGATGCGTTTCAACTCAGGCCTCATTGCTTTGTCTGGTTAGCAGAGCAGGAAACGTAATTCTTTGCAAGAAATATAAAATTGACGCAGTAGATCATTGGTCATTAATGGATGTGGAGATGGAAGATTGCCCACTCAGCTTGGAATGATAGGTGTTTTCTTTCCTCCCATTAATCTAAGCTGATGCCCTGAATGGCCCTCCCTGAGCCATCCTTCTTCCCCTGGGCAGTGAGCCACCCTCCTGTTCACTTTATGATGGGCCCCAGTGGACATATTTTATAATTGCTCGTCTGTTACAAATAGACTTAATGTAGTTATCCTACTTGGGATTTATTTTTTATTTGTCTTCCATATCTCAAGGCCATATGGCTAGAGATGCATAAAAATGTTGATTTCAAGATGTTGAGGTAGAGGAATCTCAAATTTTACTGCTGCAGAGACATCATAGGGGCTCTGGGTTTCTGAGCATTTGTTTTCTGAATCTCAGTTGTGTGGGGAAGCAAGAGTATGATATGAAAATATTCACGTATGAGCTGGCCACTTAGGAAATTCTCTCTGCCCACCCATCTCTCTGCTTCACTGTATAGCAGTGATTGGTAAACTGTCTGTAAAAGATGAGATAGGAAATAAGTCAGGCTTTGGAAACCATATGGTTTCTGTTGTTATGTAAAAGCAGCCATAGTGTGTAATGTATGAGCATGTCTGTGTTCCAATAAAATTCTATTTACTAAAACAGGCATCAATCTGGATTTGCCCCCCCCCCCGTCTTGCACTAGAGCCTGCCCCCCTCACTCACCCCCATGGTCAGTGTCTTCACTGGTCAGTTGCTTCCCAATTCTGGGTAGTGACATAGAGGATCTGACAGAATTAGACCAGTAATTGAAAAAAATCAGCAAGTTCATGAAATTATAGCTTTTTCCAAAGAGAAGGATTTACCTATCAATGATTATGATAGGTCTTTGGGAAAAATCAATGAAACTCTCAAATATTTTTGCAGAAATGACCTTGTGTATGATCTTGCTGCACAAGTCCTACATTGGAGTAAAGGATATATAGCATATTATCATCCAGTTTTATTGGGAAAACTTGATTTACACTTGTTCATTCTTAGATTTCAGCATGGTAATTTAGATTTTGAAAATAAATGGGATAAAATTGATTTATTTCCTGATGTTTAGTTTTACTTTCTAAGATAAACCCCCACTCACTGAAAACATGTTTTCAAGTAATATTTACTGTAAAAGTTTGTCACCAATGTAGATCGTTGCCTTTTCCTAGCACTGGTTATACTCAGGTAACAAGGACTCCAGCAGTTTTTCTGCCCATCAGGGCTGGGAAGAAATTGACTGGAAGAGCACACTTCGGTTCTCTGTATGTTTGGATCCTTGGTTCTTCAGGGAGCTGGTTAGAGCCATGTCTGCCAAACACTTCCTGTGACATATCCAAACCAGGACTGGGTGGAGGGTGGTGACTTGCTAGTACAGAAAGGTCCCAGCATTTTCAACTAGTTTGGTAATTAACCATCAACCTTTGGCACCAGGGACATTTTTTGAGCCAGGTTTATGGTTTTTATCTGCCCTTTTCAGTTTCTAAGTTACATCAGGGCTGAATGCTATACGTCTCAGGCATCCTCTTACTGTGAATGAGAATAACCCACTGTCTGGGCATCCCATCAGCATTCGATGCAACAAAGACTCTTGGAAAGCCTGGAGAGCTAGCAGGCCTAGGGAGGCTCAGCTGTGGCAGCTGACGGTTCTGAACAGAGGCTTTCTCAAAGCTCCTCCCTTGCATTGAGGGCCTTGTGGGTCACTGGCTCCTGGGTTTTAGCAGATTTAACCCCTGGGTGGAGTAAATGGTTACACGCTCAGCTACTGGCCTAAAGGTCATCAGCTCAAACCCACCCAGAGGTGTCTCGAGTCAGGCCTGGCCACCTGCTTCCAAAGGTCACAGCCTGAAAGCCCTATGGATCAGTTCTACTCTTCACACATTGGGTCACCATGATTTGGAGTTGACTCAACGGCAACTGAAAAACAGTAACAACAAAACCCCTCCACATGGCTTCATTGTGTGCCTTCTAGTTATGGAAAGTACTAGGTAAGTAGGATAGAACATGAGGGTTATAAAGTAAGACTGACCTGAACTGGGATCCCAGCCTTCCCGGCCTAGCAGGGCAGGTCACACGAGCCCTGTTGGCCTCCGTTTTGTCTGCACAGTGGGCGTCATGTCACTATAGAGCTGCTGTGAGGGTTTATTGAGATAATGCACACAGAGAACTTAACACAGGTGCAGCACTATTCACAGGATCTGAAAGGTGGAGATGACCTAAGGACCTGTCACCAGAGGAATGGAGAAGCCAAGTGTGGTCTCTGCGTACAGTGGAGCCTCACCCAATCCCACAGAGAAATGAAGTTCTGATCATGCCATGGCATCATGAGCCTTGAAAACATGATGGCAGCCTAAGTCAGTCAGACACAAAAGAAGCAGTAGTATATGACCTCATTTATAGAACATGTCTAGAATTAGCACATCCATCAGGACATAAGAGTAGTGGTCACCAGGGGCTGGGATGGGGTGGTGGGGGCCTTAACGTGGGACTTGGTGCACAGCAGGTCTACAGCCAAGCAAAGCCTGCAGGAAGTGTTTGTTGTCTCTTTGCTTTCTTCGCTGCCCTTACTGCCAAAGTCATACGAGCAGACAGACTGGCTAAGGAGTGCCAGGTCTTTTACCCGCTGCTTGGTTGGGAGGAGGGGTTGCTCAGAGCAGGAGAGTGCTCCTTTGGGTGTGGATCCTCAGCTCCCCACCCTCCCTCTCCTTGCCGCAGCCCCAATAAACGAGGCCCGCCAACCTACAACGAGCACATCACCAAGCGTGTGGCCTCCAGCCCGGCGCCCCCTGAAGGGCCCAGCCACCCCCGAGAGCCAAGCACACCCCACCGCTACCGGGAGGGGCGGACAGAGCTGCGCAGGGACAAGTCCCCTGGCCGCCCCCTGGAACGAGAGAAGTCACCAGGCCGGATGCTGAGCACACGGAGGGAGCGGTCCCCTGGGAGACTGTTTGAAGACAGTAGCAGGGGCCGCCTGCCCGTGGGGGCCGTAAGGACCCCACTGTCCCAGGTCAATAAGGTGAGTGCATGTCCTGAGGCTGGTGCATCTGTCATGGTAGCCAAAGGTGTGACTTGGGGAGCCTGAGACCCCCATCAAGGCCATGGTTATAAGAAAGCAGCTCCAGTACTGTAATGCAGATTTTGTGAGATTTTAATGAATTTAGAATAAAATGTACTTTATTTAAGAGGCTTCCTAAGCAAATGTATAATGTGTGAGATTTAAAAGGGGGGTGTGCATGTGTAAACTGTGATAGTTCCTTGTTGAAAACTATAGGGTCAGGCTTACGTCATACATGAGGGTGTTGGCAGCGTTGCTGTCTGGTTCATGAGTTACGAAGATCCAAAATGCAATCACTAGAGGACCGTTCTTTGGGGGAAGCCACTGTCTAGCCATGAGCTGGAAGGCAGATAGGTAAAGGCTGACCTCCATGGTGAGGTGACTTACCAAGACTAGACTTGGTTACCAAATCAGACTTTAAACTGGTCACTCATCCTCTTTGAGTCTCAGATTCATTATCTGTAAAATGGCAAGAAATAATATTAACAAAAAATGTATTAGTTCCCTTCCACAGTCAACTATTTCTAGAGACGTTTTGTTTATCTCAAGCAAGTAGGAATGTACAGTCTCCCTTTTTAAACAGAAATGACAGCATCCTGTACAAACGGTTCTTCACCTTTTCACACACACACACACACACAGAGAGTTTTTCTGGAAGGCTGCACAGAAACGGGTGATAGTGGTTGTCTTCTAGATCTCTGAACTTTTTGAAATTTGCAAATCACCTGCTGGTCTTATCTCTGTTACCAATGTGTGGGAAATGGGGCTACGTGACCAGGGGTCCTGGCTGCCTCTGTGGCAGGTTGCCCGGTTCAGGAACCCACTCTGGATGGCAGAGGCACTTTCTGCAGTCTAGTTTTCTGGGCTGTGTTCTCCTCAAGGCATCTGCAGTCCACTGACAGCGCCTCTCCAATAGAGAGAGGAGTAGAAGCCATTGCGTGTCTGGCTTGTGCCCTCTGATTTACCGATGAAACTGTGTGCATGTGTGTGAGATAGAAGAAATACATACATTGCACGTTAAGTGTGGGGGTTTTCCGTGAAGCTCACGACCCGACTGATCCCAAGCTTTGCGAGTTCACTCTGAGGTGGCATTGCCCTGCAAAGCACTGCCACACCCAGAGGAATGGCCTGGGTGCTGCAGACTTCCTGTTTCAATTGTGCCAAGTGAGTTTGGACATTTCTAGCTTTGGGTGACTTAATCCCATCTTCCTTATTTTGCTCCTAGGTCTGGGACCAGTCTTCAGTATAAATCCCAGCCCGACAAACCGACTCCTCATCTCGGTCTGCAGGAAAACGCCAAACAAACTATGGAACTCTGCCGTAGGTGACGCCAGCGCCTGTCTGCTCAGCCACGCGTGGCACGGCTGAGCTCAGCCCCCTCGGCACAGACACCCCTGTCTCCAGGAGGTCAGGTGGCCAGGGTGCTCTGGAGTCGTTGCACCTCGGTGTCTCCTCTCGACACCCTCCTGCAGTCATCTCTTGGCACTTTGTTACTCTTTCAGAGCGTTCACAAACGTTCTTACCCAGCTCTGGGCTGTGCAAGTGCATCCAAGGAAACCAGCCAGCTGGACACTTAACAGCTGCGTGGTCAGACCACCTCATACAAGATCCTAGGGATGGTTGGTTTTCCTTTTCTCTCTCTTTTTTTTTTTCCCCCTTCCCCCTCTCTCTCTCTTTTTTTTTTTTTTTTCTTAAGGCCACAGAGCTCTTCATAGATTTGAACAGTAATGTATTTCCTGTTGTAGTGCTTTTAGCTAGACCACACCATCGGGTCTTTGCTACTGAAGCGTGTCGTAGAAACCCCCTCGGTTTGCAGACCTCCCGCCGCACTCCCATAGGTTCATTCTCGTTTGAGTCCGTCCTCACAGATGGCCCTCTTTTACCCAGGGTGACATCGTAGCCAAATGTTTACTGTTCTCATTGCCTTTTAAGGCCTTGACGACTTCCCCTCCCACCAGCTGAGAATGTACGAGGTCATCAGGCCTCAGCTTGGAGGCAGTGACTTGGGGCCAAGGGACCTCGCGGAGCTTCCTCCCCGCCACCCAGCGTCGCCTCCCCAGCCTGCTATCCCTGCTTCCATGTAGCTTTGGCCAGGAAAGCATGCACTAGACTTGCTCTATACCCAGCATTAATGGGTCTCTGGGCCGGGGCTCCCCACTTCCTGTCTGTGATGGTGTGTGGTTCCCCACTCTGGGATGGGGGGACGAGACCTGCCCAGGAGTCCTGCATGGCGGTTCACTGCATGTGCTGCCCCACTGACATGGCTGACCACCTTGGGTTGCTCTGTCGATGCCTCGATACCATACCATAGCTCCCGCCAAATTGAGACCCTTTGCCGACTTGCCAAATTACTGGCCACAAGAAGCTGCAGTTTGTAGCACTGAACAAACAAAAAACCAAACGCTCAAGCCTTACGACCAGAGAAGGACTTCAGCAGACCACCACCTCAAACTCAGTATCCCCTCTGACCTCCTCGCTTCCCTGTCGCCTCCCTCGTGGAGGACTCTGTGTTCACACAAATCCAGCACGGTTCTACCCCACGAAACTGTGACTTCCCAAGTGAGCCTTTCCCTGGGGCTAGAGCTAACCAGGAAGCTGGAGAGAGAGCCGCAGCTCACCTCTTCCAACTCCGCAGAGGCTGGGCAGTCCTCCTGAGGTGCCGTGCGGCTCCCACGACTTCTCTCTGCCCTCTAGTAGAGCGTGGAGTTCCTGGCAACTGGTATAGAACCAACCTAGAGGTTTGTAGTTGGCAAGCTAACTAGCGGCCTTATTTCTGCCTTTAATCTCCCACAAGGCATCTCTTGCTTTGGATTCTCCATGACTCTTAGGCATGCCTCAAACAACCAAGGCACATCCTAGGTAGGCTGAGAGGTAGACCTGTTCCCACCACAGCGAGCGAACACGACCACGTTTCCCACCCACGTGTCCACAGTGTAGATCACTTCCCAGATTGCAGCCTGGCCCAAATCCCGGCTCCTTCCTGCTCGTCTCTTAACCTAAGTGCTTTCTTGTTTGACTCTCCCATGAACCTCCACGTTGTAGCACCTTGGCGAGTGTCACGCTGTTGTGTTTTATGTGTTGCTTGGAGTCTTGGGGTCATCCTCTGTCCCCTCCCTCCCCCAGGGCAAATCTGACTGAATGTTTGCTGAAGTGTTTGTCTCTTGGTCCACAAGTATTTGGAAAGGTCACTGAAAATTGGTCTGTTAGTCTTGGCATCTCATTTAGGATCTCCATGAGAATGGGTTTCTCAAGCCCTGAGAGTGTATCCCCCGTGTCTCATCTGTGCAACGCTTCCTGCTATAGAACTAGCTCAAAAGATTGTACATATTTACAAGAAACTTTATATTCGTAAAAAAAACAAAACAAAAAAAGGAAATTGAATTGGTTTCTACTTTTTTATCGTAAAAGGTGCATTTTTCAACACTTACTTTTGGTTTCAACGGTGGTAGCTGTGGACAGCCACCTTCACTGGAGGGTGGGGGGGCTCCGTGTGACCACCAAGATCCCAGCAGGAAATATTGTAACACGAAATTGCAGTCAGAAGCTTATTAGCATAAATAAGATTTTAGGTCTCCAAAGTATAGGCTTTTTCTTCATTACCTTTTTTATTCAGAACAAGGAAGAGAACACAATAGTTCAAGATCCGCCTTGAGAGGAATGAACTTTGTTGTTGAACAATAGTGAAATAAAGCGATGAGCTAAAATGTCTGCTGTGGTCCAACGACCTCTTCTTTCCTCGAGACTGGAAACACTCGACCGTCATGAGTGTCAGCCTAGGCTTGCTTGTTGCGGCAGGGACTTGAGTCTTTGTGGGGGGGCTTCCCTCTGGGGTGGGGCCGGGGGAGCCATGCAGTGGTGAGTCCACTGCTATCCTAGAACCCACAGACTGGCAACTTCTCTTCCCAAAGGGTGGCCTTGTCTGGGTTTGGTCATTACTTCCAGTTAACCACGAACTGGCTGTTAAGGTCCTTTCATAGGACAGGAGTGGAAAGCCTCTTAAGCATTTGAATAGGCCATTTTGAAAGGATTACTTATGAATGGATTACCTAGTTTTATAATGCAATGCAGCTAGCCAGGAAGACAGGTCAACTTAGAGTTTCTCTCATCCATTATGTGGCCACAGGGGATTTGATAATGTGGGTTTATTTGGAGGGAGGTGTTCACATCAAGGCAATTTATTTTTTTTTCTCTTTTTCATTTTTTAAATTTTTGTGGTGTTCCCTCCCATTCCCTCCTACCCCTGGTAACCAACAAAGTTTCCTTCCATATATTAACCTTTCCTTTTTACAATAATTAACTAACACAATATTTGTCCTTCTGTGATTGGCTTATTTCACTCAGCATGGGGTCCTGCAAGTTCATCCACATTCTGCGGATTCTGCATTATTCTTTAGTGCTGCATAGTATTCCATTGTGTGTATGTACCATAGTTTGGTTATCCATTCACATCGAGGCAATTTAAAATGTCAGTACATTCCTGTTCCCACCACAGCGAGCGAACACAACCACGTTTCCCACCCACGTGTCCACAGTGTAGATCACTTCCCAGATTGCAGCCTGGCCCAAGTCCTGGCTCCTTCCTGCTCGTCTCTTAACCTAAGTGCTTTCTTGTTTGACTCTCCCATGAACCTCCACATTGTAGCACCTTGGCGAGTGTCACACTGTTGTGTTTTATGTGCTGCTTGGAGTCTTTGGTGATTTTTCTCAAGGTTCCTGTTGTTTCCAGTCTTTGTCTTTTTCTATTTTTTTTTTTAAATTGAGGTTCACTCACCGCAGTCAGATTTTGACTGGCAGCGTTGTATCTGATATTGTGATGGGAATAACCGTCGCAATTCTGTCCTTCTTTTGTAATTTACTGTGGGGCATGAAAAAACTGCCACCGGGTGCCAACAAAGAATGAGACTCGTGCAGAGGTTGAGCAGATCAAATGTTGGGGCCTTTCTCTCCTCCTAACTGGGAAAACCTCCATTAAATAAGAACGATTTCTGTTACTGCCCTGAGGATCGTTGGCAGCCACGGAATCCTTGAAAAGCTCAAGTGAAGATGGTTTGCTTCCAAAAGGAATGCACCAGGAGGGCTGCTTGGGTCCCTAAGGAATGGCCTCAAGGAGGCAACCAAAACACTAAATAGGGCCCAATTTTCCACACTGTTGTTCCCGTTCCTTAAGCACAAAATTAGACGTCCTGTTTCCTGGGCTTACAACTTTTCATGAGACCAAAGCCATTGGCCGCACAGCAGATTTCATAACCATGAGACTATAGCTCTGGTAGCATAGTGGCTAAGGCACTTGCCTGCTAACCAGACGGCTGGCGGTTCAAACCCACCAGCCACTCCTCGGAAGGAAGGTTGGGCAATCCTACTTCCTTAGTGATACTGCCTCGGAAACCCAAGGAGGGGTCGCTATGAGTCAGGGCTGACTCGACGGCATATAACAACAACAACAACATAGGGTTTGGAGACTTCCAAGAGGAGGTGATTTGCTTAATGGGACTGAACAGCTGGCTTATGTTCAGAGTTGGACCTCTTGAATGGGATGTGCTCTAGAAAACACATCACACAGATTTAAATCTAAAGCCTTAAGGCCGGGGCCACTAGGTGGGACCAGCTAAGCTTTCCTCTCACAGCAGTTCAGTTGGTCTGTTCCAGTGGTTCTAAATTGGAGGTAATTTGGCCCCTGCCCCACTCCCACTCCCACAGAACATTTGGCAATGTCTGGAGATATGTTTGGTTGTCACAACTGGAAGGGTGCTACTAGCATCTTGTGGGTGGAGGCCAGGGATGCTACAAGGACTTACATACCCTACAGGCACAGGACGGTGCCTGGCCGTGGATTCCCGGGCCCGAAGTGCCAGGAGTGCCACGGTTGAGAACCCTTGGTCTGTTCCAGTCTGCTTCTTGGCAGTTTAAATACCGTTTGATAATGTTGAAAGCTTGGGGACTGTGACATTAGGCACATGATGTTTGTATCACATTTAATCACCTGCCTGGGCTTAGTTTCCCCGCAGCCAGGGAGGGTGGGAGTAGTGCAGATACAGTAGTCTGGGTCACTCTGTTTTCCCTTGACTCTATCAATGGTTAATGGAACTCTCTTTGCCCTGAAGGGCTTATTAGAGGTAGAGGAACGCACATGGAAAATGACTTTTCTACCTAATTCTGGTCACACATGTAAGCCAGGCTTTCAGAGGACCACAGAAAGGAAAAGTAAAGCTGACCCAGGATCCACACATCTGGAGCTGTCTCACTTGGGGTCTCTCTCTCAACTTTTCCAGATGGGTTTTGTTGTTGTTAGGTGTGGTCAAGTTGACCCCAACCCCACGTGACAGAAGGGTTGCCCTCTAGGGTTTCCTAGGCTGTGATCGTTATAGAGGCAGATCACCAGGTCTTTTCAGGGAGCCGTTGGGTGGGCTTGAATTGCCAACCTTTGGTCAGCTGTCGAGCAATTCACCATTGGTCCCTAGATGGGTATAAAAGAACAGTAAAGGCTCACCTAGGGAAAGCCTTTTGGTTGTAGGAAGGGCAGAAAAGACTGTCACTGTGGGAGGCAGCCCTGAGGGCACTGGGCCCCAGTGGCTGACTCACATCACTGAGGACGCTCAAGATGTGGTGGATGGTTTCTGCCCATCCAATTTGTTCATAACTTCCTTGTTTCTCCTGAAGACAATTCTACTTGGCATTTTAGGCACAAGGCTCTAGTTTCTTTTCCCCACTAATTTGCTGATCAAGACAGGTGCAAAGGAAGGCTTCCCCAGAAACTGGATGGAAATTTGCTGAGTGGTCTACAGACTTGGGTCTTCAACTCACTCAGGCTGCAAAGATTGGTGGTGGGATGGGGACGACTGAGTATGGGGCTCAAGAATGAAATCATGCTTGCCTACAAGGAACTGATTTAGATAAAATGAACATTTGTGTTTCCCCCTAAAATAGTTTGGTCACCGGCCTCAGCCACGGAAGGGTAGCACTTGGATGTTCTTGGTTTTTCATCTTGAGCTTGGGAGCCTTGGAAGTGTTCTTGCTGAACTGGTGGAGGTGCTGGCCCTTTTTGGTTCTTTGTCCCTCGACTTCCTGTGGTTTCTGGCCATGTCCCATTCGTGTAAAGGCATTGTGGCTCCCAGATTGAAATGAAAGGGGCTCTAGGGTTCATCTAGGGCCAGTCTCACCCCTCTTGTTTTGTAGATGAGGAGTTTGGGCTACTAGAGATTGTGGTTGGCCCATGGTCACACAGCTAGTTGGTGGCTGAACTGGGCTAAGAACCGGACCTCAGTTGCATCCACTCTCTGGGAGAGGGGATGGCAGAGGAATGGCCAATGCCAACATGGTCATGTCAGGCTGGAGACTTGGTCTTGGAACTCTACTAATTAACCTCATCTACACCTGGGAGCTCTGGTAGCATAGTGGCTAAGACACTTGCCTGCTAACCAGACGGCTGGTGGTTCAAACCCACCAGCCACTCCTCAGAAGGAAGATGGGGCAATCTACTTCCGTAGTGATACTGCCTTGGAAACCCAAGGAGGGGTCGCTATGAGTCGGTCCGACTGGACAGCACATAACAACAAGAACAACACCACCCACAAAAGTGGAGCCAGAGGGGAGGAAACAACCTTGCCAGAACCCTTTGATCTTTGCTTCCAGAATTTAGATTTATAGCTTTATTTACTTGGCTTTTACATTTGAAGGCCTTCCCTTTGGCTCTGTAACTTCATTTGTATGTGAATTTCTGAAAGGAAAAAGACATCTTCCCTCAAAAGCAATTTGAGTTAAACTTTAACTGTTGAACAGTCCTCATCCATAAAGGAAATTCCAATGGAAAAAAAACACTGCCTGGGGCCAGGGTGCTGCCATTCTACAGGTGGCTGTGCCTTGATTGGACCAAGGCATGGTTTGCTTTTCCACATCCACAAAGGAGTCCCCATTGCCTTTTGCTTTCTGGGTGTAGTGTTTGAGTCTAGGCAGTCTTTCAAGGCAGCGGACTTACTTATAGGTAGCTTTTTAAAGACAATGAATTATTTCAAATACAGAAAGCTGGCAAATACTGAACTAGACCATCACCGGGCCCATGTCTGCAGGAGTCTCCTGGGCCATGGAGGTCTCTGCCAGGCCCCAGCTCCGACCTATTTTCTACTCTGGCTGTTTGGCTTGGGTTCCTCTGCACTTTGTCGGTGGAGGCAACTTGTGAACTCAATTTTCCAACTTCTTGCTGTTTACACCAGTGCCTGGGGCTGATTGGCTCCCTTCTGAGCCAGATTCTCAGATCCCTGGTTACAGAATGGGCGGTACAGTGCCAGGAGCCTCCTGCCCAGGTGTGGGTATCCGGGCCCCACAGCCCCCCTCTGCTCACAGCGCCCCAACAGGTTTCTTTCTGGCACTTGAGTATCCCTTTTAGACTTTCAAGCTGAGCTGTGTATTTTACACTGTATACAGTATTTTAAAAAATCGTATCCAGCTAAGGAAATAGGTTTTTTTTTTTTTTTTCCCTTCATCTATTTAACCAACCCCTTAGCCCATGAAACCCTGTGGATCTTAGCAGTGACCTGAAGCTGACCATGGGGACGGCCCAGGACTGGCTGGCGTCTTGTTCTCTCATGCGTGGGGTCACTGTGAGTTGGGGGGCTGACTCGACAGTAGCTAACAACAGTCCCTTCTCACTCTAATCTAGGGTTTCGCTATCACTTGGGTTTTCAGGCCGAGACACGTGACTATCCATGGGGGGATGATTTCCAGGCCACTCTCCACTTCAAGTGGACCAGATCACTCCGAGGGCCTCTTTTCTGCTACATTTTCCATGTTTCATAGTATCTGGGAAGCAAAGGCTTGAAGGGGCACCAGTGAGCTTCCATGTTTATGTTGTCAGGCTGGGTAATGTTCTAGCTAATAACACAGCTTGGAAACCAGTGTAGTCCAGGGGTTTACAAGCAGTTCAAAGCAAGAGGAAGCCAAGTCTCTGACCTGGGAGAAAAGCTTGCCCAAAGCCAGAACCTGTGTGATCAGCTCTCCTCAGCCTCCCTGCTAGACCGAGCGGCTCAGCTTTAGAGGCTCCTAAGAGGCTCTCCAATAGTGTGGTGACCCGGTGGCTTCTGGGACTGGCCCTCAGTCCTTGGCACTGCTGAAGCAGCCTTATTCACGCAACTCCCTCCTGGCCACATACATGGTGGAAAAGATGGAACGGCACTGCCCCGAATGAAGCTCTAGGAAAGGCTAGCCTCCCGATGATGACATAAAATCACCTTCCAGGCAAATACCTGATTATCGTTAAAAAGCTTTATTGAAACCTGTATGACAAGGTGACAATCATTCAGTGTTTTGAAAGCAGTAACAAAAAAGGGTACTCCAAATTCAGCTTTGGGTTTACCAAATAAATACTGGTAACCCTCCCCTCCTAGCAGGAGCACAGGGCAGAACGATCCCTTCTGCCAACTGGGCAACAGGTACCCAGGCTAACAAGCACATCCGTGGCACCTCCCTGCAAACCGAGCTGAGGGGAGAAAACCTAGTCCTCTGCTTTGGTCCAAAGATGTCTTCCTGACACGAACTTGGAAAGCTGCTGTCAAGTTCTAAATTCCTTCCAGCACAAACAACGGCAAATGCTGCTACCGTCTCTGCTAACTCGGGGCTGAGGTTTTGGGTGAGGTGACCTAGGCTGTCATTCAGAATAGGGTGGGGTACATCTCTAATATTTTCGGAGTAATACTGTCACCTCGTTATGACTTGAATAAAAAAAGCCAGCCCACCTTCAGCCAGCAGTGGCAGGCCTCTGGGTCACGGCTCGCTGGAGAAGCCCGGCAGCAGGTCTAGAAGCCTGTTCTGAGGACCGATTATTGCTGAGCACATGGGTACATGACGTGCACTCCAGCTGTGTGACAGAAGCTGCCACAAGGCTGACCAGGCACCTCTGCTTTAGAACAAGTATCAGGTGCACACAGGCCCAAGAAACAATCGCAAAAGCATCATCTCAAGTCAGACGGACTCTAGTTTCAAAAGAAACATCACCTGCCTGGGTCAGAGTGGGAGAGAATCTACTGCTTTGACTGCAAGTGGCAGGCAAGACCTACACTATTCGTACGTCAGCGCCACAGCCAGGCCACAATGGGGACAAGTCAGTGGCCTTGAATTAGGAATTTTGTGTGGCCTTGGTCCCCTGCTTCCCCGATTTTTATTAACATTCATTTCTGACTTAAAAAACACCTCCAAGACCAGTTCAGAGGACATGTATTTAGAATTACGCCTGCCTTCACGTAGGCGGGGCAGTGGCTGCGGATCTTCCGGGTTCCACGCCCCGTCTTGACCGTGAGGAGGTTCACGGCCGCTGGATGAGGACTGTCGCAGACCGAGGCTCTTTTGGAGTGGTCTGTGCCTGAAACAAGTAGAGCAGGGCAGGTACGAAACATCTTATAAAGAGTGTGAAATGAGAAACTGACAGTCCATCCCCCTCGGGTAGAGCATGCACGCGTGGAGCCTGGTGGTGGTGGTGGTGGTGGTGGTTCTCTGCGGCCTGCTGTCTGCCCCCAGCACTTCATATGGGCTTGTAGAGCAAGGTGGTGACGTACTTCTTCTTGTACCGGTGGGTTGCGCTGAGCACCATCACTCCGTCCTAAGGAAGAGGATGGAGATGATCAACAGCCGCTTAGCTCAGTCAGGAGTCTCAAACTTGACAGTGCTTGAGAATCAGCCAAAGTGTTTACAAAATCACCAATTCCTTGGGCCCACCTTCAGAACCTGAGCCCGTGGATCTTTTGGGTTCTGGAGGCTGCCCTTTTAAGTCTAGTGCTGGGAGTACCTGCAGAAAATGTGATGCCATTTGCCTCAGTGCACCCTTTGGCAAACAGCATTAACAACAAAAAAGCATTTCGTTACCTTGATAGAAAGAGCATAGAGGTGGTTCAACATGACGTGGTTGGGCTCCGGGAGCAAGGCGGGATCACACTGTGGGGGTGCAAAGGCAGACTTGAGCATTCAGAATCTGAAGTGAGAAGCTCCTTCCCTTCACAGCCTCAATACCACCTCCCCTTTAAGTCAGACATGCAAAGGGGCTTGTCCAAGAGGACAGGCGAGGTTGAGGGAACACGACCTCCAACATGAGGGACCTCTGTGCAAGTCTGCTAGATGCATCCGAGTGTGTCTGTCTCTGGTCAGACTGTGACCTTGGCTTCTAAAGTGTGGCCCACAGCTCTGTCCTCTTGTAGATGGAGAGGGAGGAGGAAGATGAGCCATTACTGGGAAGCACTTTCAGAAAAAGGAGGAAGATGTCACCTCTGCAGTCCCCAGATGCCAGCAGGAGGCTCTGCAGCCCTGGCTTGTTGCACCTGAAGATCTCACAGTCGCCCTGCGGGCCCCTCCAGGACCCACACAGATGGTGTAGAACCATTAGTTCCAGGTCTGTCCTTTAGTGTTTCTAAATGAAGAGGCTAGAGTCATTGTCCTTAACACAATCGGACATTACCTGAGGTCTGGGGCTTAGGGCACCCTAGAGTGTGGCACTTTACTTAACAAGCCCACAGTTTGAGTTTGGGAAGATGGCCCTGGGGACAGTGCAGCTTGTAATCTCACACGAGGAAACCTAAGTTGCACACACCAGTTTTCTCAAAAGGCAGTGAGGAGATGGGCAGCCAGGAAGTCACATCCTAGTTCTAGCTCTGCCACCCGTGGCTGGGACATGCTAAGCACAGCACCTGACCTCACTCCAGGCTGAGGGTCCTAAGGAGAGATTGGAACCAACTGTTCTCTCAACAGATACCTTGAAAGCACCTACAGGGAGGCTGTGAAGGTGCACCTGGTGGCCACGGAGGGCTCATGCCAGCCTGCCCTGATCCGAGTACCAGCTCTGCCACTGTGTGACCTGGGAACACCCCTTCTCTGTGCCTTACTTGTCCCATCCCTTCCCTACCTTACAAGGTTACTGTGCAGATTAAATGGGAATACGTGAAAAGCATTTAGAATAGTTCAGGGTGCAATAAATGCTAGCCATTTAGGACTGTAACTAAAGCCTCTATCACAGCTCGGTGCTGCCTTGGACAGAGAGCTCTTGATGCTTTCCTAATCCACGCTCCCATCCCCCGTGGACCACTCCTGGCTGGTCTATTCTCAGTGCAGACCTCCATCAGAGAAGTCAGTTAGAGATACCTCCCTCTTCCAGAGGGGATCGGGACAATAACAACTATTTATCAGCTCAGGAGGGCACTGAAAAAGTCACCTCACCTACAACCTTTGTCACATTAGAGTTAAGAAGCTGCCTTACCAAAGTGTACCTAAGACATAAAATGGATGGCCTTCCAGTTACCTATCCGTGACCTGCTGGAGATGTTGCTGGAGACATGGTTGGGCTAGCGCACCCCGAGGCGGCCTGGTCCCTCTTCTCAGCCTGAACCCGAAAGGCTGAGTAATCTGTCAGATGTGCACTTGGGGCCTTCTCAGCACGGGTTGGAGAAGCTGCGCTCAAAGATAGGTGGAAGCTCGGCTGGGCTGGGGTGACCCCACTGAGCCTGTGCCCTGGGGCCCAGCCTGTGGCTGTGCACATGCGTGCACTTGGCGCTGCTTCTCAGCTTCAAGTCAGGATGACGTGAGTAAACCCAAGTTACGAGCACCACCAGCCACAATGAAACAGAAGATAAAGCAGCCTGTTAATACAGGGGCTGTGGAGGAAACAGGTTATACGAGGCACTGGCCTGCTGAAAGCAAAAAACAAAAAGCCCACTTCTAAAGGCTCTTTGACGCCATGGCACCCAGGTGCCTTCAGTCACTTGAGTATCTCCATTATACAGACATTAAACGGAAACAAATCTGCTGCTGCTGAGTCAATTCTGACTCATGTCAGGACAGAGTGGAACTGGCCCAGAGGCTTTCCCAGACTGGGCCCTGGCAGCCCAGCCCGTGGCCGCCGCAGGGCAGCTTTGCACACGCGTGCACTCCACGCTGCTCTCAGCACCGTGGACCCCATCTCCCCCCAGTGGGTCCCGAGCAGCTGCATGACTGTTTTACTGCTTTATGAACACATGCCTTTTAGGTGGTGGCCTGGACAGAGCCGCAGAGGGTCTAGGGTCCTGAGCCTGATGGCTCTGCCATGCATTTCAGAGCTTGGCAGACCCGACAATCCAGGTTGAAGAGTGAAAAATCCCCCCACAAGGGAGTCGCTCGCCTCTGTTCAGGAACGAGGGCATATGTGCTTCTTTGTGCATAGGATACAATTTCCCAGAGGAAATGTGCTTCCCGGGTACCCCGTACTTTGATCCAGGAGCAATGACGTTTCTGAAAGTTATCTGGGGATTCAACCGAATTCTAAGATGGAGGGTGGTGGAGCAGTGGAGGGACTTCACTATACAACTTACCAAGAGGAGGTGGTTTTACGGTCTGTCGGGAAGTTTAAGCGGGAGGGGCTCAGTCAGAGGCAGGGGAAACTCAAGGAAGACAAAATCGGGAAGGCTGTGAGATGGGGGAGGCAGCACCCCACACTCAGAGCATCCTGCTGCCCCATCGGAAGCAGGTCCCAGCAGTTAACACCAATCGGTGACACTAAGCATTCTTACCATCTGCTCTGCCGGAGGGGGGCAGACAAGGGAGCATGGTCAGCATGCACCCTGTGACTCACCGAAATCCCTGTGTCCTTGTTCAGGATGACCTGCAGCAGATGCGGTGGGAGGATGGGGGGCGCTTTAAACCGCTCTTCGGGTTTGGAGACGTAGGGCTCCTGGTGGTAGGGCCCTGGCGGTGAACTGGACAGCTCTATTGGGAAAGGACAACAGGTGACAGGACACTGACTTGGAAAATCGTTGAGTTTTGGGAGCAGGCTCATTTCATTCAGGCTTTGCCATCTAGTTTTCCTGTCTTGCTCCTTCCAAACAGATTCAGTCTCTTGAAGGCTATATAGCTCTAAGGGTGAAGAGCCGAAGCAACAAGAAAACCTTTCTAGAGTCTGGGTGCAGGGCATGGAACTCAGTGGTTCCTGAGAGGCCCTGGTGGGGGTTGGGCTCTGGCAGGGCCAGTGCGTCCGGAGCAGCCAGAAGCTCCCGGCTCCCGGGGAGGACTAAGTGAGTGAGCTGGGTGATGAGTACCACCAGCCAGAAGAAAATGAAATCAAGCTGCGTGTTTATCCAGGGCCCAGGAGAAGGCAGGCTACACGAGGCACCGATCCATTTTCAAACAAAACTAAAAGCCCGTTCTACAGGCTCTCTGACTCCACTGTACCCAGGTTCCTTCAGACGCTTGCTTGAGTATCTCCATTATACAGAGACGTTAAGCCCAAAGAAATCCACTGCCGTTGAGTGGATTCCGACTGACAGCGGCCCTACAGGACACAGCAGAACTGCCCAGGTTTCCAAGGCTGCCATCTTTATGGACGCAGACTGCCTCATCTTTCTCCTGTGGAGCGGCTGGTGGCTTCAAAGCACAAACCCTTTGGCTAGCAGCTGAGTGCTTAACCACCGTGCCATCGAGCTCCTCGGGAGCCTCGACAGCTGCTCCGTCTCTCTGGGTCAGAAGCAGCTCACTCGGTGCGTGGCCAGTGGAAGAGAATGAGCTGTGAACCTGAGAACACTGGGATGGGTTCCGGCCATGTGATCCCTGGACGGCTCTGAGGAAGCCTCAAGTGCCCTGGTCCTGCCAGCCCCCTCAGTGTCATTTGCTAGAGCCTGCCCCCTCCACACAGCCTGCCCACGTCTCAGAAGGCAGCAGAGAAAAGCATTAAGTGCAGAAAACTGAGCCATCAGGAGTAAATATATATACAATTATAAAAAAGTGAGTGTCTAAACATGAGAAGTTTGCAGAGAGCTGGGAGTTGGCTGACCAACAGCGGGGAAGCAGTCTCCTCTCCCCAGGTGACTGAGAGAGTGGGAACTCAACTCAAAGCTGTGATATGTGGCCCACAATCATATTTATTAGCAAGGAGGCGGAGATGTGGGCATTTCTCCCATCCCTTGATTCCTACCTATTTGAAGAAAGAAAGGATTTCTCCACAAGATTCATTAGCTAAAGACAGACATCTGGAAGAAGAGTTAACCAAACAGAAACACACCACCATGTTGAGATTTCAATTCTGCTCAACAGCCTGACTTGTCAGCCACACCAAGCCCAGCACAGTCCATCCACCAGGGCAGTGTTTGCACTGACAACAGGCGGTCCTGGGCGCCTGTCCAGGCCCAGCCAGGGGACCATGAGGAAATCAGCCTGCAAACAGAACTGAATCCACTTTCTTAAAGCACTAGAAAGACTCCTGGGGACCCTCTCTGCTGCCTGCCCCTGGGTTCCAGGAACTGTGGGAACCCTGCCGGGGGAAGTGTAGCCAGTGCTGAGACTTTTGATTACCGCACAGTTCCTCCTGCAGGGTGTGTGATCTGGGTTATTATTCCTGTGTGGTGCTGATGAAAAGCAATTTATAGAAACCTCAATGATGGAAAGGCTCTCGGAAGATGGGAGTCTTAGGCAGATGCGTCTGTGCTAGCAGGTCTCCGTAAAGTAGAGCATGCTAGGCAGGCTGTTTCCCGTGGCACCCCTTTTTCTCCCCAAAAGGATTCTGACAAGGTGCTGGTGCAGCAACCTAGTAAGGGCCAAGGCCACCGGGGTGTTGCTTACCACCTGCCAGGCTGAGAGCTCCTAGCAGCCTGAGCAGGAAGGGAGCTGGCAGGCTACCCAGCCAGCTCTCTATCCTGGCCCATCCTCTCTCACCCAGCAGGGCTCCTGGGGCCTTGCAGCACAAGGTTCCATTCCCATTGTCTGCTTTCTGTGGCCAAGCAGACCTATGGCACAGCTGAGCTGATAAGGAAAAGGAATGACAGCTCCTCTGTGGCTAAGACTCAACACCTGCACCTGACAGAGGCAGGAAGTGGCTCTCAGCTCTTCAGGGAGCTACCAATGCCTATCTGACCCGGCAGCTGCAGGGCAGCTGTAGCTCGAGGGAGGGGCAAGAGAAACGGGAGTATTTCTAGACTGCACAGCCCCCACCTACACACCGTGGTATAAAATAACTGGGTCCATACCAGACATATCGGAGCACTTTTGGGAATCCACCATTAAAGCATCAAATACTTCAAAGTCAGTTTTCTTCACTTGAATGATGTTGTTAACTGTGCCAAGCTGGCTGGTTACTACTGGCTGGGAAGAGACAGACAGGCAGAAATCATAAGGTGGAAGGTGTCTGGGAGTTCTCTGCAGAGGGCTGGAATTCCTGGCTGGACCATCTCATGTCCTGGCTAGCCACCCTGCTCATCTTGGTTAAGGACTTGCACAATCTGACGATTAGGACTGCTACCTAGCTCAGCCACACACAGGGACTTTTATAAGAAGGGCAAAGGGAACTGGCACCAGTCTAGAAGGGCAGGTGGTGTGTGCAGCACTGAGGACGTAGGGCTAGAGGGGAGAGTACCTCGGAAGGGTCGTGTGTCCACTGGCCATCCACAAAGAACTTATACTGATGCTCGCCTTCGGGCAGATCCAGGATGGCTACGAAGTTGTTGTGGCTAGAAGGGAAGAGGAAGCAGAGGACCTCAGCCGCGGGCCTGCCCTCCGCATGGACTTGCAAAACCCACAGCGGAGAAAACAAAACGTTCCCCTGTAAAACCAAGCATTCAGGCAGCAAAACAGTTACTCCACGAACATAACGATCTAAGTCTAGCAAAGCTCAAAGGAAGTAGCAAGGCAGGGCTTCTCTGAAACGCACTTTGCACAAATGCCAGGGATCCACAGTCCCAATGCCGCAAGGTGAACAAGCAGGCATTCGTCCTTCTCAAGCTGGCAGGCCAAGGAGAAGGACAACACTAGATAAACACACCTGCCTGGGGTCACTCTTTGTCAGTTTGTCCAGGGCAGGAGAGGGATCCACTGAACAGAATACACAGGTGTTCTCTAAAGAAACCAGCATGAGGACCGAAACGTCTTGCAGGGAAGCTCTCTGACTTAGTTGCTTTGTTCCTCTGACTTTAACGGACTTGTGATGGCGCCCCTTCTTTCTCCAACATTTCTGTCTGAAAAGCAGGCTGCACAGTGACTACAGTCAGACCCGGCTGGCAGGCTATGATCTGTCCCTTCATGTCATCCACAGGACTCGCTCGTGCAAGTCCTTTTTCATTGACAACTTGAGACAGAGGTCTCTCCGAGGGCTTGATCAACTGTTTTACTAGGTCCCTGCTAAGGACACCTGCATTACGGGGCCCTCTCAAACAACAGTAATACACAGAGAGTCAAAGTTAGAAGAAAACTCAGAGGTCAGCTGGTCCTGTATTCCTTCTTGCAGATTAAAATAAAAAAACTAAGGCTCAGATGTCAAGTGCCTTGTATAGGTTAGCACGGCCGATGTGGACTCCAGTCCAGGTCTCTATGACCACAAACCCAGGCCCCCCCACTGCAGCAGGAGCAGAAGTCCCACATGAACCAATATCTGCCTGGATATCTGAAGTGTAAAATGTCTGTGAAAACAGACCACTCTGCAGAGAGAGCCGTTTTCTTCTAAGGAAGGGATGCCCTAAATCTAGACACTGCTTGGGTGTAAGATTTGAACCTCTTCAATTATTCAAGGTTAGTTTCCCATTCAGCATCCATTTATGAAAACACCCTTTCCTATTTACCTGCAGAGACCTGACAGGAAGAAGAGTATCTGTGAGTTAAACACACACACACTCCCAGGGCTATTACCTTCTCGTGAGAGGAAGTTTACTCCAGTTGTTGAAGGACCCAGACAGATAGACTTCCTTTCCGCCCCCTGTCCATCGGAACACAGTCGGCCGCGCCTGGGCGGGTGCTTTATCGTTCACTTCCAGGTCATGCTGCCAGGCCAGGAATTCCTCCTTCTCTGGGGCCTGGAAGCAGAGCAGTTCACTCAAGGACAGCAAGCCAACTGCAAGCCCCCAGAACAGGCAAAGACCCTAAATAAGAAGAAGCAATTCTGGAGACAGCTGGTGCCAGCCAGGTTCACATTCTGGCTCCATAACTTACTAGCTGTGCCTCCGTTTCCTCACCTGCAAAATGCAGATAGTAAAAACCACTTTAAGGTTTTCATGAAGAACTAGCAAGGTGGGCCATGGCAGTGCTATGCACAGTAACTGGAAGGAGGCCACAATGAGTCCAAGACTAGCTTAATAAATGTTATCTTTCTCCCTTAAGCAAGACTTCAAGTACATGAACATTTATTAGAGACAATGCCAGACCTATCAACTTGAAAACTGGCAGGAATTCTAGGGAGTAAAGGAAAATAACAAGAAACAAGAAACATCCCCTGAGTGCTCCAGGTACTGGGGAGCAAAGATGAAGAAGACAAAGGAGGGTCCCTGAGAGTTAAGGTAAATGATGACATTCTGTGCTGTGTAACAGAAGTTCTGCAATGAGATGCATCTGGCTGTTTGGGTAAGAGATGGGTTATATATCTTCTCCATCTCCCCTCATCGGAAAGGTGGGAGTTCCAGGCTGGGAGAGACCATTCTAGCCCTTCCAATATTGCCCTGAGCTTATCTCAAAGATAAGCAACCTTCAAGTTCTAAGATCTATAGTTAAAGAGTAACAGCTGGAATCACTCCACACCAAGGACGTGATGATGAATGGCAGCCAAAATGGTGACACTGTGTACTTAAAAGAATCCCCGACTTTCCTGGGGGCATTCCGTCCTGTGTGTCTGCTATGATTCCAAGGATTTCAGGGATTCCTGGTGAGCTATGGGTGGAATGCTGTCCCCCCGAAATCACGCCCCACAGGTCATGTGTGTGGCTCCACAGGGAGGGTGTGAACAGCAGCACAGAGAGGAGTTTGATTTTCATGGTGCCTTTTTATGGTCTCAAAATTACTTCCGGAGGAAGGGATGTCAAGTTATTGGAGACACATGATTCCAAAGTTCACCTGACATGCAGCTTTTCAGGAAAGGGACACATGCAGAAAGTAAGCGCAGATTACAGGACGGAGACAGGGCCCAGTCCAAGCAGGCTCTTGACAGCTGACTCAAAGTTAAGATCCAAGTGAGGGTGAGAGATCGTAACGTGGCTACCCAGCCCAATGGTGAAGAAGTGCATGAAGATGAAACGAGTTCCTCAGCCATGAGCTGAACGGACGCTGATGATTAACACGCAGCTGGATACTACAGAGGATATGGTGGGGTAAGAGGGGTGGGGCCCTCTGATCCTTCCTAACCTACTTTGTTATAAAGAGCCCTGATGGCGCAGTGGTTAAAGCATTTGGCTGCTAACGTTTTGGTTAGCACAAGCTGCTCCGTGGGAGAAAGATATGGCAATCTGCTTCCGTAAAGATTTACAGCCTTGGAAACTATGAGGCAGTTCTACTCTGCTCTATAGAGTCACTATGAGTTGGAATCTACCTGAGGGCAGTGGGTTTGGTTTTGGTTTAACCTACTCTGTCGTACTATA